CAGAATCTCATACTTATAAGCTAATACTGCATTCTGCAGCATGGCAACATGTTCATCCAAGTTCAAAACCTTCTCCTTTTCTGATCTGAGCTCTGTCTCCATCGTTTCCAAAGAAATATTAGTCTCCTCAAGCTTGTTTTTAAGGACCATGATCTCAGTTTCTGCACAGTGAAGTTTCTCATTAGCAGTTGAAAGTTCTTCCTCTAGTGCCAAGATTTTGGAATTACAGTGGTCATGGCAAATTTTCTCTCCCTGTCTCTTGACCTTCTCCCTCGTCTCACGTAGCTCATCCTCTAGCTCATGTATTTTCTGCTGTAGACTAGAGGAAATACCATCACCATTTACCTCGTTGCCATCATCAAACTCAGACTCTGAATCACATTCCGAAGAGGATGAATACGAACCATCACTTCCCTTCCTGGACAGGTCAGAACTGCCACCAGAGCCGAGGAAGAAATCAAAGCCAGCAGCCCTTGGACTTGGCTTGGGTGGTTGTGGCTTTGACTCAGGTGTGACTTCCAATGAGTGAATGGACGAAGGAGAAGGTGGATCTGAAACATGATCAGATCCACTGCCTGAAACTTGAGATCTGAGCTCTGACCGAATATTCTTGCGAAGATCTCCAGTCACTTGGTCATAACGCTCAGCGAGCGCACGATACATGCGGTAGAAATCCTCAACTTGGGATATCAGCTCAGGCCGCCTTTGATAATACACCTCAGCTTTCTTTGCAAAAGATTCTCCTTCCTCTTCTATTAATTTCAGCATTTGTTTGACACTTCGATCCATCTCTGCATGGACGGATGATTAAACCAATTAAAATGTTACTCATGAAAGAACAAACAACTACACTCATGTTTATCAAATTAGAGGGTCTTGCCACGACACATCAGAGCTGATAGAATCCAGGTTGCACTGATGAGTAAATGGGAGAGATCTGGTCTACAATGAACTACCACATACAAATACTATTAAAAAAGGCATATTAATAGCTAGATTTTACATTCTTACTTTCAAGGTTTTCTTCAAGCCATTTTGAGTTCTTGCGGCTGATATGACTATCCCACCACCATGAGTGGGATTTTCTGGATACCATCCGCTTCATTTTTTTACCAACTGTACTACACTGCAGAAAGCTTGTAGTTCAGAATTGGGGCCCTGTCAATAATTGAGAAGTTACATCCATCGAGAACAAATACTTTCATAAAAAAAGAGCAGAATATGAATTATATTGCAGGTATATCTACTCATTAACATAAATTTAATGCAAGAGGCATCAATTATCAATATAATATGCGGATTTAGTAATTGTTCTAGTTTGAATTGTTTCCTATACTGATATGTCAAATGAACAGTTAAAGATGCTAAAATGAACACAAACAGTAACCTATTTACTGATAATAATACTGTTAGAGACAGTGAACCAAATTGACTATCAATTTACTGAAAGAATTACCATACGACACAAGATTCTAAGTATCTTGCATGAAGATTGATAAAATTTGGTGGCCTGGTTTCATGGTGAAGAATTTTCTCAGATTGAAAACAGAACTAAACCAAAAATAAATTAAATGATACTTGAGTCTAAAATTGATTTGCACCATGAAGGGAAGTACAGATAGAAAAGAAGATGAATCCACCAATTCACATTCAAAACAATTAAGTGTACTGATTAAAACTTACAACACAAGGCTCAACAGTTCAATGTTTGTCATTCTTCAAGACCAAAAAGTTGGACTGACAGATATCGTATCACTGTATTAGCAAAATCTAGTGCGGATAACAGCATGTGCAAGATTAAGCTGGATAGCAATAAGAATAGCTATAGAAACAACAAATTGCCAACGCAGACCTTAAATGAGTAAGATTCAATTCTCAAACAGGATCCAAGGAAAATAAAATCAACCAAAGAAAGAAAAAAGAAGGAAACAAAATGAAGCATGAAGCCATTTTTTTTTCCTACGAGGTGATACAGAGAATAACATGATGCTATACTACACTTGGTAAAAGCAGAACCTAACGGTTAATGATTCCAGCACCGGAAACAGGCATGCAGATGAACCCAACAAGCAACAAAAAGGTCAAAAGCTGATGGAACCCACAAAGAGAAAGTGGTCACAGTTAGCAAAAAGCTTAAAGAGACACTTCTATCTCACTGGATGACATGATCAAATACTCGGCAAAGTTCTCAATTTGTTTGGTGGGAAAATGTATTCTTGGTCAACGCGAGGAAAAATAAATGCATCAGAGCAAGGCAACGTGATACACCCATTCGGACAGGTGCAACATCTCAATAGCGACTTGCACTATGTAAAGGCTCACGTTTCATTGGACCACTCGCTATTGAAGCATATCTATGTTTTATTATTTTCAGATTAATTTCGCAGTCAAATAGACCATTGTTCACACTATTAACAAAGAATTTTTTCATTAAACTAATTAATCCGTCAATGCGGGATCCGAAAAAGTCGAACAATTACAACTACAAGGTTCAGTGTTAATCTTTGTTAGCGAAGACAAATCTATAATCATCATTTTATAAGCATGTCCTCACATGCTTCTTGACCAAAAAATAGCTAGCAGATGCAGGTCTGCATCAAGAGTTCATATATCCATCTCCGACTCACATGAATCATAGGATCATCGAGCTGATGAGTTTAATGTAAGGTTGAGCAATTTACAACATTTTTCTGGGATAAAATACATTAAAAAAAGTTGGAATTTGGAAATATAATGATAAGTTCTTCTTTTCTGCCCTTTTGAGTATGCTCCATTCTCACCAAAACTACTGACGTCCTGGTGACCGAGCAGATCATATACCAGAGGCTTGAAAGAAGAGAAAAACTTACACCATTCTCAACAAAAGAAGGAAAATATGAAGGAAAAGAAGGGTATTACAAACCACTATCGACGAACAACCGATGATTAAGCGGAGAGACAAAGAAATAGACGATCTTTACCTCAGATGTGGAGCTTCCGCGCTGGAAACTCTGGACCTTCCTATCACGGCAGATCCACCGTCGGATCCGACGATCGGAAGGCTGGGGAAGGGATCAAAGGAGCCACCTCGAGGAAACCTGCAGTATCCGTCAAGAAGGAGAGCAGTGAAGGCTCCCAACAAATACTCCCTTATCAAAGCGCCAGGGTTGTCTCCATCTCGATAATTAGTGTCCTAAATGACGAAACCACCCTTGTCTTCCACGGTCCTGATCATCTCAAAAGACGGGCCGGTCTGCGATTATCGGCCCTGTTCGCTGAATGAACGGCAGAGATCAAATAAAGGTACAGGTGGCGCTCATCAGAGGGGGGGTACTCGAAGATTTTACTTCCGAAGCGCGTCAGGGCGATGGGTTGGCAAATAGGTGGTCGTAGTAATTACGCAATAGGCGGGCCGCGTGGGGCCCTCATGTGGCATCCGTTCCCGGCGAAGGGGGCGCGGGATATAATTCAAAACGTCTCAAGGAGCGGGAAACCCATACGGATGACGTCACCGTACGCGGTCGACACGTGTTGATTACCCGTAATCGCCCCACCATTTGCAGAAATGACTATCGAGTCCCAAATTGAAGAGAGTGATTGTCCGGAAAAAATATTTTTTTAGTTTTTTTCTCATATGATATCCCTTTTTTAAATTTTTAAACCATCACCTCTTATTTCTAATATTTCAAAAATATCTCTTAAAAAAACTATCATTTTTTTCGCTCAATTCCAAAATTTTTTTCCATCAACTATTTTTATCCATAAAATACTATATAATCTTTTAAAAATATTATATAATATTTTTAAAAAAATCGTACATAGTATTTTATTTTTAAAATACTATATAATATTTTTTATCATAGTATTTTTAAAACAAAAATATCGTAGTGAGTGGTGTTTTAGGAATTTTGAAAAACCTAAAAGGAAAATATTTTACTCAAAAAGCATAAAGCCATACATACATCATCAAAGATAAACTGCAGTGATAAAGCAAGGACAAGACAGTAATTACAGTCTTGTAGGCAAAGCTAGTAGTGACTTGGAAGAGGCAATGGATGGATGGATAGACTTCATCCGTGAATCCAGGATTGATAGAACAGTTTGACCAACTCCCCGATTGATCGAACACCCATTCAGTGATGGATCTCTTTTGTGACAGACTGATACATCTCGAAAACACCTCCCCAACCAAACCAAGCATCGGCTCAGACGATGCTGCTGAGGTAGCTTTCGGCTGGTTGGGTCATCCTGCGTTTGACAAACAGTTCATGGTGGACTTTTGTGGCATGCGAGGAGGAGAAGAACATGAATGGAGAGTCCACTCGCTCTCGTCTTACATGAGGAACAGCTGACTTCTTCGTGTATGAGGGAAAGCTTGTATTGACCATCACTGCTGCATCATCTTGCTGTGAACAGAAAAAGAAAGTGACACCAGATTTTACCACCATTTGGTTTACATAAAAGCATTCCACAAACGAAGGAATGCGACTTCACAGTATCGGACCCATGTCGGTTCTATAGTTGGTTCGATACGACTTCGATATATTTTAAATAGAAAAGGAAAGAAGCAGAAGATAAAAGAGATAAGGAGGAGAAAGAACAAAACAAGAAAGAATAGAAGAGGCAATAAAGAAATAAAAAGTAAAAGAAGAAAGTTATACTAAAAAAAGATTGACGAATAACGAGAAGGTCGATAATAGATAACAATATTTTCGCATAAACAAATTATGATATATGTATCATTTCATGTTTGAATTAGTAAATATCGATCGATATATTGTGAATAGTTATATATTAGTTATGCCAATAATAAATAGTCATTGTCATAAATTTTTAAATATTTTAGTACTATAATATTAGATATTCTAAAAATAGAATGCAAGGATAATTATCATCTCCTTATAATTTTGTTGAGGGTATTTTGATCAAAATAAAAAAAATTATAATTAGTAATATTTTACTAATTATAATTATAATTATAATTATTGAGGGTATTTTGATCAAAATTTAAATATTTTAAATTGATGGCAATCATAACTAGTATTATTTTACTTGATTTTTCCTTGTCAACCCCATCATATGTCACACGCTATGCTTCCTTCCCATCGGACTCCTTTGCAGTAGAGCCAATACGAGATGTGAGGTCTCATCAGAGTTCGTCACGGGGAAGGCGAGCGTCATGATCTGTACGGTTCTTCTTCTTGCAGTTCCAGTGGCACCTCCAAGAACACCTGGAGTTAAAGATCTGCATTCTCTTGGACTGCAGCGCGAGGATGTTGGATGTGTTGGGCGCCTTGGTCAGCACCACGGCGTAGCCGTCGTCCATGTACTCCGTCCCCTCCGGGAACACCTGCCACAGCAGGCACCCTCCGCCGCTCCCTCCCCTCTTCGTCGAGTTCAGCATCGCCGCGTACACGGCGGCGATGAACGTGTTCCTCTGCGTCGAGTTCGACCTGCCGGCCTTCGACGACGACACGCCGAACTCCCCGAACACCACCGGCATCCGAAGCGCGGCGTCCGCGTCGTCGGTGTGGCCTTGGATCCAAGTCGTCGCGAACTGGGCGTAGTCGTTCGACCCCGATTTCGGCAACCTTCATCGAGGCCACCAACCGGATTAATCGATTCACTTGCAGCGATCGAAATCCACATCGAGGGAGGCTCACCAGGCATCCGGGTAGAGATGGGCCGAGGCGTAGTCGATGCCCAGAGCCTTGTGGTTCCTGATGAAGTCAGTTCCTACTTGGCCTGCAACAGCGTTAGGGTTAAGCTGCAATCTCTCATGAGAGGGGGGACCGTAGAAGCCTTCTGTTCCTGTTCCCAATAGGTGCACCGAATCGATCGACTTCACGTGAAACGCCATCTCTTGAATCCACTCCTACAGGTGGATATAAGTAAGTCCCATGCAAGCAGTGGTTACGTGCATGGCAGCAAGAAGAAGAGCAGCGCTTCACCTGCAGCTTATCTCCAGATGGGTCGGAGGGGCATCGAGGCTCGTTCATCAACTCCCATGCGAAGATGGTCGGGTCGTCTTTGTACGTGATGTTGGTGAAGGTGTTCGCTCTGTTGAGAAGCACCTGCATCAGGGGGGAACAGTGCTTGGTCATCTGCACTGCACCATCAGGAACGGTGCATGGGAGACGAGGAGGAAAGGAAGGTGCCGACCTTGACATGAGCTTTGTAGTAGCCTTTGACCGTTGGGTCAGAGAAGAAGTCATCATCTGAAGTCAGATTCAACCCAGAGGCGTTTCCCCATCTCACGTATTGAGCTTTTCCTCCGTACGATTCCCAGTTGTTGACTAAGGGAAGGACAAGCCTGATCTTATATTTCTTGGCTTCACTCAGCACAAAATCGAATGCCTACAAGAAAATTGTTTTCACAAAGGATCATTAATGGCCAGTGATCACATATACAAATTAGAAATCCCCTAATAAATTTGCAGAAAAGGAGAGGGAAAAAATTCATCATGCAAATGATTCTGATGAACATGCTATGCTGTCTTGGTTTCCAGCTTAGGCAATTAACATACCATGAATATAAAACATGATGAAAATTATATTTGCAATTTATTGCCCCTTTTTTTTATGGTACTTAATATATTTGATTTATCATTTTATTTTTTTCGTCAAAATAGATTTCCCTTTTTTTTTTTTATTACAATACAGATAAAACTACAGCATATGTAAATAATTTAGGCAGATGGTAGGTTGGACTTGTGATAATTGGAATCCACATCATATGATATGGTGTCAAATAGCATTATCTCACTGAGAAGTCTTCACATTCTTAGTCGCCATTGAGTTCTTAGTATGCAGGTGGTGGACGCCAAGATTACCTGGAAGACATCCTCATCGTAAACCGAAGGAGACTTTTGCAGGGCTCTCCATCCTCCATCGTTGAATGCCCAGGTCCTGCAGACCGTGAGACCAATCGATGAAGCCTGCCGGAACACGTCACTCACCTTCCCTCTCGTCGACTTGTCGACGGCGAGCATCAACAACCAGTAGGTGTTGAAGCCATTGAAGTAGAAAGGTTGGCCTCCGACCACAAATTGGTTCCCTTTCCTCTCCACCACGCCCCACTCATCCCCCACTCCATCCATGTCATGTACCCTAAAGCATTCTCAAACGAGAGCAGAAGCATTAACGCCGAGAATTCTGGTTGAACAAGGAAACAACAGACTATCTACCTTCCGTTATGATCTTGTTCGGTCTGACCAGGTAAGGCTGCGTTGGTTCTCCCATTGACCGCCAAGAAGATTGTGAGTAGAAGGAAGCATTGGCGGAGCAGGGAGAGAGAAGTTGTGATGGTGTTCTTCTCCTTGTTCATGGCCATGGTATTCTATTCGTTCATCCCACAAGCTCTCTTCTTTGGAGTCAGTATTCTTATATATGCCAAGGAGAGAGATGCTTCTCATCTTAGCTTCGAAGGAAGCAAATGCTTGTAACCTCGCGCACTCGTATCTTGTCAAGTGGGGACAAAGCTAGCCAACATATAAGAAGGTTCAAGTAAAAGGAAAGCTCAGGTCACGGTTATGCACCGGGAAGATGTAGCTTACAAGAAGGTAAGAGGTGGAGTCAGGTGCCTTCCAAGTTTTGGTCTTTGATATCATGTTCGTCTCTAGAAATTTTAGTATAATATCACATTATCCCTTAGAAAATTAGTATCATTCACATATTATGTGATTTAAATCACTTCAAACTATAAAATATCAGTGATTTAAATATCCATGGAATCTCACGCATTAGGTTATTGCTTCTAATATGATCTTTGGATATTACAAATATTAATTGTGATCAAGACTTAAAAGGTTCAATCTACTTGTAGACTTGCGATATATTGGCTCCCATCAGGGGAGGATGCTTCAAATAGACTTCAGATAGCATCCACTAGGATCGTGGGTTAGTTCGAGAGCAGGGCCCATGGATGTTGATGCCTTCACGTCAAGCCACGTTGCCAAAACAAAGTTACAATCAGCCTTAACGTAGGGGCCTCAGTTCTTGATTGAAGGAAGCTTACCATGCATGCCAACACAAAGTAATCACCTTTGTTTGTTTGTAATGGAAAAGAACAAACGTATCAAATAACTTATGAAACACTATTCTCAGCTGTAGATTTCGATTGCAAGATAATAACCATATTCGCAAAAAAATGAGTTATATCTCTGAAATCATTACAAGACTCACTCCGAACCTTCTTGCAAGCTTCAATTAATAAAAGAATAAATCTTAATCAACTGGTTATAGTGATCTGTGCAAACCATCCATCATCAACCAGAGACAAAATTTGGCTACAAGAATGAGCAATAAATACATATGCAGGTCAGAAAATAATCAGGAGAAATGATTTGGAGGTCAAACATATATTTGATTATTTGGAGGAAACATCATTCCTAAACAACAGACTCCCATGATAATGAATTGTCTACAACCTGAACATGATTTTACTTTCCACCATAAGCATCAGTAATATAGCCGGCACAGGCAAATAAAACATTGAAGCCAATTAAGTGCAGAAAACAAATGAGACGGGTAAAACTGCAAGCTAATGAACAACAAAACACATTCTTCCTGTACATGGTTGAAGAGTAGCAGTTACGAAGAGGAGAATATCCAGATTATGAGCCAGCTTTACGGCGGCCAACGCGTGCGACGAAACCAGCTTTGATAGGAGCGACCGAACGTGAAGAACCACACTGCAAATACGATAAACCAGACAAACCGAGCAAGAAAACTCTGTGAATATTATAAGGCAAACGAGACATAGATCAATGGCAAAAATTATCATCCTGTCACAATTTGCAGAAGAATGATTATCAATGAAAACACCAACATCTGCCACTGACTCGACAAAAAAATAGAAACTAAACAGTGTGACGTGCTCACCAGACAACCTTTTGGTTAACATCCATAAAATCATAAGGAGAAAAACCACTGCAAGTCTGTGCTAAATGCCTCAGAGGTTCACAGATTATTATGATAACAACAAAAAAATAAAAAAATAAAAATATGTGGGCAAAACTTATGCAACTCATTAAAGGCAGGCATGCAGTTGTGATAACTTAGGTAACCAAGATTGCATCATTATGGGGCTTCAATTAGCAGAAAACACAAATATTTAAGGATAAATGATAGAAGAACAGAAATCCAAAAACTTTTTTTAATTTTTTTTCTTCGTATGAAGCAGTGGCTGTGACAATTTTTACCACGATAGCTCTAATACAACATAGAGCCATATTAGGGATGACAATGTTATCAGAAAACAAGTATGACAAAGCCTGACATAGCTTGCAACAACAGAAAACCAACACGATCATCTAATAATGTGTAATGATTAAGGCCTCAGAACAACAAAAGATTCTTATCACACAAAATAATCAAACAATGTAGGCATTATATTGGCTGATCATCATAGGCCTTGCCAAACACAAAAGCAGCACATGTAAGCATCCATCTCTACAGTAAATATGTATGCAATTTATTTGAAGAACAAAAGATGGGCTATATGCATTCACCTTTTCACATCGAAGAAAGAACAACCGATTTTCCTTGGAAAGGATTGTGTCTGGACTTTTGCAACCATTACATATAACATATTCATCTGCAAGAAAAGGCAGAAATGAGGTGATCTATAAAAAACATAATAATATACTAGCTTGTTGTGAGAATTCTTAAGGATATATATTCTGAGCGATCAAGTAATATTCTACTTTCAGAACCAATAGGCAAATGTGAACTAAACTGCATGGAGCCAATCTCCCTTTAACTATTCTAATATACTCACTGACATATCTTCTTATGATACCCTCAAAATTATTTGGAGCAAATCTTCCTTTAACCACCAATCTCTGCTGTCCATCAAGGGATCCACTTGTTCCCATTTCAGCAAGCAAGAAATTCATCACATGCTCTGGTTGCCTATGCATCCTGTGGATAAAAAACCTCTTAAAGATAAGCACATTTAACAATTTTTTTCTCAAAATTACAACCAAAATCATTCAATGGTTGTGGACATTATAATGCATTTACAGGCTCATTCTCATTTCAAAACTGTGAATCTCATAAATAAAATTTATCAGATGCAAAAATAGGGACAGCATAACTGCTCAAACTATTGTAACGAAAGTGACCATTCCTAACACTCATAAAGTAGAATATCATGATACAACAACAACAAAGTCGTAAACTCCTAACTATCTAGGGTCTGCTACATGAATCTTTTGCGGCCGCCATTGAACTAAGTAAAAAAATAATATTTTTATCTAAACTAAGAGTACTTAAATTTTTATTTATAACTTTTAATAAGGTTTTTTAGGTATCCCATCCTTACATGATCAGAGGTTAAATTAGGGACCACATAAATGATCAAACTATTGTAACTAAAGTGACCATCCTTAACATGCATAAAGTAAAATACCATGATCAAATGAGATAAACTGATCTATACTAGGCCATTAATAACCAATACAGCAATCAAAGAAAAAAAGTCATTATATGTTCAGTCTGACCAAACTATGGATGTTGATTAGTTTCATTATTAAAAGAGGAATAAATCATCTTCCACTGTTCACCACAAATATCTTGAGTAACAAATTAAGCACAACCAAATTATTTAGGTAAACAGAATACATTTTTAATCAAAAATTACTTATCAAATCAGCATCATAAAAGGGTTTAGCATAATACATTTTGCAGAGATCCATAAAATTCACAAAAACAGTCTTCTTAGTTCCTTCTCTGAGAACTTTCGGAGTCCTCATCACAGGCCTGCGCCTATCTCCAGCAAGATCTGGATTATTCTCATGTAATATATTGAAAACCCTACCCAGCAGCTGCATGATCAATGATGTGGTATCAGCCTTCCGGTGGCCAAGAAAATAATGATTCTTTTGCATGCAAAACATTCATTGAGTTGAAAAATCATGCAATACACTAGTATAGACAAGCATTGCAGACACTGACTGTAGGAAATCACAACATCCTCCAGGAACCAACTAGCATAAGAACAGAGATATAAAATCAATAACAAAAGCTACATGGCTATACAAAAGTGATCTTCCCCCATAAAGAACATGTTAACACAAGATTAAGTACCACAGAAATGGTGTCCTACTATGAGGCTTATATGATATGACCAGCTCAGCATGGCTTGGCCACTCTGGATGTCATATCGCCCAGGACCAACTGGTACAGTAAAAGTGCTAGCAAAAGCAACCTATGGTGCTGCAGAGAGATTTGATTTTACAAAGCCATAGTTATTTTGACCACATATAATTAGACCCTAAATACGCAAGGCTAGAACCAGAATGCTTCACATTCCATGGCCTAGATGCACGTCCGTTGGTTGTTACTCTGTGCTGCATGCCATATGGGTCAATAGTTAGTACTCACGTGTACCAACAAAAACTCATCCACCAACAGAATAGAGATGGAGAGAGAGAGAGAGAGAGAGAGAGAAGATCTTGTAGGAGTTAGGTAAGATGTGAGTGAATTATGTACCCAAAATTTTGGATAATGGTGCTATTGTTGTTGGCCTCTGACAACTTACGGTAATCCATGCGAGGTGGTCAGCCTGCCAGCTATTAAAGCGAGGGGGAGGTGGGGGCCCAATAATGTGCAGGGTAAAGGTAAAATGTGCTGGTGTATCAAGCAGCATAATAACAATGATTTGCTGATACCACTGTTTTGTGAACCAGTGAGCTTGACTGGCTTGAAAACGTACTGGCTAACACCAGAAACAAGACTTATATGTGCAATCATCGCTTAAGATATAATGATATAAATACAAAAGGCTCATGCCACATGTATGCTTGTTTGTTGGTTTTTGGTTAACAAGAGGCCCGCCATAAATATCACTCATGCAAGCAAGGAAAGAATATTCACAGGCATCACTGTTCTATTTGATGGCATCTAAGGCTTCATCATTACTTAATAAAAGCGAAACGTTTGTCTTTTTTATTTAGTTGTTTCATAGATCAAGGGAGAGCAATTGCAATTCGATATTCAGTACTTGCTCATGATTTCCTCACATTTTAGGCATGCATGCTAAATCTGGGTCATGTTATAAATCTTATCCCCTATTCAGAACCTTTTATTAGTAGAAATATGCCATGTGCTCGATGTATTCCATAATAAATGCCAAAGGCTAATGAGGATTTCACTAAACAAAGACATGGGACCTCTTCTAAGATCTACCCATGAAGTAACTCTGGACAATTCACATCATTTTTCATAACTTCACCAATCCAGAAGTACCACATGATATATTAAATGATCCAAGCATGTTACAAAACTTCAATTTAGTTATTATCTCAATATAGAGTTGTTTAGAGTTTATGATGTTAATTTGTGCTCTCCTT